TCAACTGCTGAGCCACACCAGCCGGGCTTTACTTTAATTTTTTGGATGAATCAACAAAACAGTGAAAGAGATACTTTCCCATCTTCCCACCTTCCCCAATGAGACTACAAAAACTACTGATATCCAAAAAATTACCAGGATTCTTCTTGACTGAATTTATAATCTTCAGCTTTCTAAGAAGCACTTGATATAAATTTACTATTATTTATCTGTACCATGGCTTTCTCTACCACCGACTCCTCTCTAGGACTTCATTACACGTTAACTTACGCACACATTCATTCGTTCATGCATTCACTTCCTCCATCATTCCCGCTACCATACATTTTGTACGACATTTATTTATTTCCCCATTCATTCCATCATTCATTTTTCCACTCGCTTGTTCACTCACACATTTATGAAACATTCATCAAGTAAAGGCCTCCTAGGTATGCAAAGAGGTCCAAGACTTGGACCCTTTCTAGGTACTGGGCTGAGAATCTGCACTGATTTTCAGGCAGTAGTCCCTTCCCTTCCACCTTAGTCTCTCCCAGCTCCCTCTTTCCATTCACCTGGAGCTCCACTGAGTTTCTTCTGGGACTGAGGGACCAGAACTGTACCACGCATTGCGTGTGGGCTCCCTATACTTTTGTGATTATCAGGGGCCTGGGGAGTAGGAACCCTGTTATCAGTATTTCCCTGCTGACTGGTAAACAGATTCAGAACATTTCGTAGAAAAGGCCCATTCAAAGCCAGCAGACCAAATAACAGGATTCTTTCCAGGCAGAGTGCTGGTAACTGAAATTCCAGTGGGCTGCTAACTTTTCCTGCACGGTCTGCAATTCTAGGAAAGACCAGAGAGCAGCCAACCATCCCATTATTTATAATTTCACCCAGAAAAGATGGATTGAGTACCTACTATGTACAAGGAGCCAAGCTGCAGACTGTGAGGGATGATTCAGATGAGCTCCCCCCAAGAAGCTGACATTCTGGGATGCAGCAGGGGGTTAAGACCACTACCCATCTCCTAATTTGAAGCATGACTTGAGAGTCATGAGAATGTACACCTTAAAAGATTTAGGGATTTGGATGGAAGAAATCACTTTTCTCTGGGGCTTGGGGAAGCCTTCCGGAATGTGGAAACAGCTGAGTGAAGTCTTGGGATGTGGGTAGAATTTTAACTATTAGACAAGGAGATGGGGGGAAGGGTGATACAGAGTTAAAAGGATGGACAAAGATGCAGAAACAGACAACGCTCAAGGCATGAATGCATCTGTAATTCAGTATTCCTCTTTAGACACAAGGAGAGTGGCGTTTTTAAGATGAGATGACTTGCCAAAGGTGCCTTTTGGCCAGGACTCTGTAACTGCAGGGCTATGGCTTCTCTATGCTTTGCTGCCTCTTGCTGGTCTCCCAGATCACTCCTGGTGGAACATGCTGTCCCCCAAAAATAAACCCCAAACCCACCTTCACCAGGTGCTCGCTGATCGAGGAGTCAGGGGACCAGTCCCATATTAGTCTCTAATTTGCCATGTGGCCTTAGAAAAGGCAGTGAAGAGCTGTGGGATTCAGTTTGCTCATCTGTTCAGTGAGCATTCTGGAGATCCCACACCCAGCCCTTCTTACCTTCAGCTGTGGGGTACTGATAACACAGACACCTCTGCAGCAGGGGGTTATTTCCTTCCAGGCATATCTTGGCCTAGTGATGTTCTCCCTCAATTCTCTTGCCCCCCACAGACCCAGCTGTTACATCTGCTTCCTCCTCTGGTTACTCCGACACCCCAACCTTTCCACTGACCCACTCAAGTCCAGAGCGAGGTTCTTGGTATGCTAAGCACATGCAATACTATTGGGGTCAGAAACTCTACCCAGGACTGGGGTGCAGAGGCTGAGTCCCCCAAAGTAGGGCTTTTGCCATTCTTAATTAAAGACAGACAAAGATCCCAAACAGAGACAGAAGATATACTGGAATGCTTTTATTCGGTGACATAACTCTGAAACTACTTTGGATTTCTGCTGCCTCCAGGAAGCTCTCCCTGAATACCCAGGGTGGGCAGGTGCATAGCTTTTGCTCTATTTTAAAAATACATGTGTGTTACAGAATTACATTTTCTAAACATGCAGCATACTCATTGAGCAGGCTGTAAAGTTTTCAGGGCCAGCCACAGCACAGAGGTCAGAAGGGGCTGTAGCAACAGGACCTGCACCTGTGCACCCGGGTTTTGAGTCCTAGTTACCTCGACATGGCAGGAAGAGGGCTCCAGAAATCAGCTGTTCAGACTCCCAGAGGCACTGACTACTTCCAGGATGGCCTACTCCAGGCATTTGGAAGCCCCAAACGGTAGAGCCATATTTCATAGCAGCTAAAATCTGCTGACCACTTACTATGTAGCAGAGCTTGTGCTAAGCATTTGTCTTGCATTATCCTTGAAATGCACACAACACACAGCTATTTTGAGATGGTAACTACTCTGTCCCTGTTTTATAGTCGAGGAAAATAAGGCTTAGTCATACAGTTAGTGACAGAGCCTAGATTTGAATCCAGCGGGGGGACTGACTTCGGAGTTGGAAATCTCCTCCACTCTCTCTGACTACGTCTAATTAGATCTGAGCCTCATGGCCCAGAGAGAACAGTAGCAGCGCTGGTAAGAACATCAGCAATAAAAATCTTCAAATTTGAGAACGAGATGAAACCTGAGGAAGTGTCTGATGTAACTACCTCTTTTTTTACAAAGGACGCACAGAGGTCCCAAGGGGGGAAGGGATCCAGCCAGGAAATGATCCCCAAACACTAGCCTCCCAGCCTGTTTCCAAGCCTCCTCTCTGCAGGAAGGGTCTTCTGCTGATTAGCTTCCCAAGGTGCGAGGCAGTAAAATAAGACTGTGCTACAGGGCAAAGGCCTGGGGGCTTATGGACCGCTGGAGCCCTGGACATTTCCAGCAATGCCGTGGAGCTTTGTGCAGGAGGGGCTGACCGCTTAGGGCTCGCTCAGGCAGCTTGTGGGGCAGCCCACCCAACAGCTTGTGAGAAATAAATGCAAATGCACAGATAAAGCAGCCAGCACTGTGCCAGGCACAGGGTAGGAGCTCACTGGTGCTGGCGCCCCCTGCGCTCTTTCTTAGAATCCTGGGAGAAGCAATGAGCTTTGGCCTCTGGGAATCCTGTGGGGATGCATCTGGGGTGACTTGGAGTTTTGTCTGGGAGAAGGGAATGTCTGAGCATTAACTCTTTCCTCAGCCCTGTGCACAGAGCTCCACATCCAGTACTCATTCGATCTTCACAGCCTTTCAACAATATTTCTGGGTCCCTGGTGGCTGCAGCCAACTCCGTCCATGAGGAGAGGCCCTCCCTCTCTCCACTTCCCACATCCCGTCTCCTGCCCAGAGGCAGTGTCCTCACTCAATTTATGGATAAGGAAATGGGACTAGCCTGAGGCCACAGAGGGAGGGATTCGCACCCAAACCCCACTGGACACCTAGCTGCCTCCGGAGAGTGCCACGGGCATAGAACATATTTTAAAACAAACCCCTGAGATCCTTGTCCCCACAGCCCCCTGGCCTCAGGGACACCCTGGTGGTCAGACAGACAGATGATGGGGGGAAGAGATGGGGATAGGTCCTGAACTTTGCCCCCAGTCAAGTAGTATCCGAGAATCTGTGAGAAGCGGGCTCTGAATCTCAAGGCCCTGGGCCACGGCTTGCAGACCTGTGTGTCCCACCTAGGACTGCTAAAGGGCAGTGGGTCCCTTCCCTGCCAGGAGGAGGTGTAACTCAGCTGGACAAATGGGCCAAAGCCTCTTCCATGTTCCAGGCTGTAAACACCAGTCCAGCTTCATCCCCTAAGATCTTTTCCCAGAGACCTCCATCCTCTGTGTGCAGCCAGTCTGATGTCTCCAGGGACTGGGCAGGTGCTTAGACCCCTTGAGGCCAGGTTACCCATGGGGAGCTCTCTTAGGGTACACCCTGGGGTGCACCATTGTCCTAACACAGATCTAATCACTAGCCAGCATAAGGGGTGAAGAGACTTGCCGGAGGTCAGGAGGGAGGGATTCACACCAGAACCCAGGCTTCAGAGGCAGAGCTTGAGGGTTTCAGTGTTAGGTGACTTAAAATCCTTCTACCACTCACAACAGTGTTTGAGCACGAAACAAAACCAAACCCATCATTTTCTTTTTCCTAACTGCATCCCATCTCTTTATTCCAACAACCAACTTTCTGACTGCTGGACAGAAGGCCTGTGTCATCCCCGCCTGTGCAACACATGTCTGCCCCAACTTCACACCGACAATGGTCCTGCTGGTGAGACCCGGCGCGTCTCAGCTGCGGAACAGGGACTAGGCAGGAGGGACTCCAGATACGACGCTTTCTAATCCGTGCTGTAAGCTCACACCCGGCAAAAGCTCACACCCAGCAGTGCCCTCAGCTCCCAGCGGTTCCAGTTCCCAGAGCTGGGCAGCACCCCTTGTCTCCTAATGACTCCCTGAGCCACCAGGACAGGAGCCCTGGGAGTTTCACCGCCTGGCAGCAGCTGGTTCCTTTTGGCTTGCAGAGGTTTTCTGGGGTGGGCAGACAGAGCGCCCTCTCCCTAGTGATGGACTCCCAGGTCCGCACCCCCATTCCCCTAGGAGCATGTGAGTATGTGAGCACCCTCGCTGGGTGCCCAGGGTGGCACAGTCGCCTGCCATCATGGGCATGGAAGGGCTGCCCAACATTTCCACCCAGGCAACCCAGTCACCCCCACCTGTGAACGTGCCCTTCCCTCTGCTCCTAGGGATTTCCCCAGGGGGAGGGTCCAGGTGCCCTTCACCCCGGGAACAGGCACCCACCTCTCTGGCTCCCTCTGCGCCTTCAGGCTGTTCACACCAACCCTCCCGCCAGCTTCTTACTCCGCTGGATCAGCAACGGGCACCGCTGCTCGCGGAGAGGGAAGCGCGGCCGCGGGAGTCAGGTGGCACGTCCCAGCCCGGCGTCGGGCACCCCAAACCCAGCCAGGGGAACAAAAGGAAGGAGGTGGCTTACCTTTGGAGGGTCGCCTTTGTTTGGTTTGCAGAGACGAGAAGGTACCCATGACGGCCCCCATGGCAGCCAAGACGTGAGTTGGGACCCCGGGCCCTGCCCCTCCCCTCCCCTGGGAAGAAATCGGTGCGGATCCTCGACTCCGAACAGGGGAGGAAAAACGCACCGGCAGCCGGCGCGCAGCTCGGTCAGCGAGCGGGGCCGGGGCTCGGAGCCTTCCCTGCCCGTCTTCAGCCGCACACGCGCTGCCTCCCAGGGCCGGTGGCTCCCGGCGAGCCCTCGCCACCGGGAACCGGGCCCGGCTGCTCCCTTCGCTACG